GTCAGGGGGCAAGTTTACGAGGGGGCGAGTTGGAAAGGGGCGAGTCAGTAAGAGGCAAGTCGGTCAGGGGGCGAGTTGACCTGACACCATCAGAAAGCAAAAACATGTCCAGAAAAGTTCAATTTAGCAGGGTAAATACCAAGTCATTTACTAAGAAAACACTTAAATTTTTCAGACCAGTCTCATAATCATAGGGTTTGTGCACAGGGTGTCAAGTGGCATCCGTATATAGAACTCTTTCCTCCCAAGCCTTCTGGGTCCCAGGTCAACTCGGTCCCAAGTCAACTTGATGCCAAATTAACTTGCTTTATAATGGACACTGGACATACGTTGACATAACTTTGCATAAAAGAAATGAAACCACCGTAAACCTTTACTTTCCATAACTTCCAGAGTTTCAGATGAATGCTGGTCAACTCGTACGCACCAACTCATTCACTGACCCACTTGTATGCGTGCCAACTCATACGTTGACCAACTTGTGCGGCAACTTGTGCGGCAACTTGTGCGGCAACTTGTGCGCCAACTTGTGCGGCAACTTGTGCGGCAACTTGTGCGCCAACTTGTGCGCCAACTTGTGCGCCAACTTGTGCGCCAACTTGTGCGCCAACTTGTGCGCCAACTTGTGCGCCAACTTGTGCGCCAACTTGTGCGCCAACTTGTGCGCCAACTTGTGCACCAACTTGTGCGCCAACTTGTGCACCAACTTGTGCACCAACTTGTGCGCCAACTTGTGCGCCAACTTGTGCGCCAACTTGTGCGCCAACTTGTGCATGCACAATTTGTGCATGCACAATTTAGTTCATACAAGGGCAATCATGCACATGTACAAGGAATAAAATTGGACTTTCTGCAAATGTACAAAAAAGTAGAGACTTAAAGCTTTTTAGATGCTCAAGATACATGTATATGAAGTGAGAGTTTCATAGAAAAATGTAGGTTTTCTTTCCAAGCAACCTGGATGAACGAAAAAAAATGGAACTGGGATTTTGAAATTTTTTTTCAAATCTTTTTCTTGCGATTTTTTGAATAAATAAGAATAAATTTGCTTGGCCAGTCTTGAAGTAACGTTTAAGACCAGCTCAGATGAATGAAGTCGCATCCATTCTCCTGAGCCCAGTCTTAAATGCACATTTAAGACCAACAAAGCACATATATATTCCCATATTTATATGGCATTATTTATGTGCATTTTAGAGACTGAGTTGACTTTGGATCAAGTTGGCTTTTAACCAAGTTCACCAGAGACTGAGTTAACTCACACCAAGTTGGTTTCAAACTGGGTTGACTTGCATTGTGATGGATTGCATATTAAACTGTTCCAACAGTAATTAATCACATTTGTAATTACCGCTCCGCTATTGGTAATTTTACTGCCCTGAATTTTCTAACGGTTGAAAGAATTCAGGACTGTTGGGTTAAAAATAATCAGTTATTTTTGGACTGTAGAACATTTGTACTTGTTCGGTTTGAAATGAAAACTTGTCTCTCCTAAAACTCTTTGAGTTTTGCAGCAATCCTGTGCAGAAAATGGGTCAGGTGTTTTCCAGTTCGTAGTGCACTAAGCATTCTGGTCTTCCCAGGATGGCACTGTGTGCATTGTCCGCTGTTGTGATCTTTCTCTTTTGGTGTGACGCTTGCATCTCGGCTATGTTCTTTACCCCACATCATAATTTCCCTCAAAATTCACAAACTACACTCTTCCTACATCAGGAACAATTTTTCAACACAGTGTCATCTTTCTGCCAATCGTGCTTGAATACGGTCAGGGGTTGTATTAGTTTCACACAGCGTGGTCCTAATGTTTGTTATCACCTACATGTGTATCGGTCTCTTGTTTATTGCTGTAGAATGCCCAGAGGAGGACAATGACCCTCGGAGTCTTTATGAGAAACTACAGGAACAGAAAGAAAAGAAACAGGCTGACTATGAAGAACAGTTCCAATTCAGTGAGTGCTATCCGGTCTGTGCAATGTTTACAATGATTTTTCCCATCATCAACTTAACCCTAACCATTCCCTATCGGCCAAACTCCAACACCAGGGCCTGTTGGAATCTGTTAGGATGAGTACTGTACCAGTACGCTGAACATGTTTAGTGTGGGATTTAGGCATACCAGAAATAAAGGGAGCGCAACCGTTCATGTGCACAATTTATGTGGAGATTTGCAAGGATGAGGAAGGTTCCTTGTAAATCACTGAAGGAAGTTAGGGTCAAGGGAGAGTCTGGTTGGTGCAATGGTACTTTCCTAACTGTCTGATTTAGCTACCTGACTTTGAGTTCCATCAGGGTGGACCTGAGGGTTTGGTTATCAGTTGCCCCCCAATTCTGTGTACTTTTCATAGCATGTGATTTGTGGGGTTTAATATGATCTTTATTGCCGATGGCTTTCTCTCTTCAGGTTTGTAATAAGCTTTTGACTTCTCCCCTCATTTGAAAAAACTCTTTTCTCAGTAATGCAAGTATGGAGTTAGTGCATAAATGAATGAACAATGCTGTGTACTCCATGCTATCTGAAAGCCCGCAAAACAACTGTCCATTCTTTGAAAAGCTTAATACATCAGTTGTATGTTTGTCACACAGAAAACATGGTCAGAGGTATTGACGAAGACGAGAGCAAATTCTTAGACCAGGTTGCCGACCGGCAGATGGAGTTGCAGACCAAACGATTGAGGGAGGAGAAAAACTTGCTGAAGGAGATGAAAGAATACACAATATCCTTGAATACCATCTGTGTGGCTGCTCTGCCATTGCCTAAACTCCATGGCCTTACAGAACCTGGCAGCTGTGAGGTTGTGTGAGGTGCATGTGTGCCGTCCAGAATTGTACCCACAGTCAATGGATTTTATTACCCTTTCTCTGCTACTTCCTCCAACTGACTCAGTATTTGCTCGTTTGCTAGTGGCGTGTGTATCGACAGAAGATAGGGCTGTCCACTATGAGCCTACTGCAGGGCCTACCCAAATCCATCACCTGGTTTTTGAATAATTTTTTTTCTACGGATAGGGACCTTTCAGGCAAGCTACATTTCCTTTACACGCGTCTTGATGTAGAAAGCAAAGAAAGGATTGTTAGTTTACTGTGTTGGATGTCTGAACTTGAGTTCAGTTTTTTGCATTTTGCATCATATTAAGAGGAAATAGAAACATGGTTGAAATATTTGAGGTACTTTTCAGTGATTTCATTGTTTTACTGTTGTGTATTTATTGGTGCCTGAAATTATTTCTTAATGTCACGAGTCTACGAAAGAGTGGTACCTGCAAGTGAACCGAAGGTAAAGCTGATGGACAGACCGCTGCCAACAGAAAAGACAACGGTGGCCAAAGTGGGCGGAGCGTCGTCGAGTAAGAGAACACAAGCCTCCCTCCTCGCTGGTGTCGTCAAGAGGAAGAGGTCAGAGTTCATTGTTGAAGTAAAAGTAACAGGAGTTTGGTAGTCTAATGGCTGGTTCCAATATGGCGTGAAAGTGTACACAGACTCAAAATTGTTGCACGATTGTGGGATCCAATGTCTGTGCAGCAAATTTGCAAAAGGTGAACGCATTTCAACTTTTGGGAATTTTGTTGAAAGTGTATTGTAATGTCCATTTGTGCCCCTTTGCATTTGTGGGCATTATGATCCAGCCGTTATGTGTCCTCCAACAAACTAACCGAGAAATGACATAACTTTACTTCTTGGTATTTTTGATCTTCGTGTGTTACAGAAGTGACTCAGATGACAGAAACGGAGAGAAAAAAGTCAAGAGTTCATCATTGTTGGCAGCATCGTCTGAGCGCGCAACGTCAACATCACAGAATGGGCCCGATACCATACAGAGCACTACCAGTGACCCACAGACAGCCAGTAGTACTCATGCAATGGTCAGCGAAACTGCTGAGCGGCCACTGGTGGACGCAGGGGACAAAGCCCAAGTGGTCAGCATCCTCCCCGGACTCGGTTTCTATAGCAACAGCAGTGACTCAGACACTTCGAGCAGTGACTCGGAGGTGGATTTACTCAATTCCGTGGTCCACAGGAGACCCAAAAAGAAAGGCAATACAACATGAACCCCAGAGCAAAATTGTTGGTGATACTAGATTTTGTGTATGCAAAAGCTTAGATGCTGTCTTTGAAAGCCTTTTTTCACATGTAGTTGATGCGTTTGCCGTTGACTAGGCAGAGACAACCATTACTCTGTGGGGTGTTTTGTCAAGAAACTCCTTCATTCTCCAATACCAACTACTCTGCAGCAACCAACGGCCACACTCTCTGTACCTGAACTTTCATCAAGCATCAAGCCACATGTAAGTAAATAGTGGCTAAACTCTATCGGTCTCACCTAACTTGTCAAGTCCAAGCCATGTCCTGCAGGTCCCAATTTCATGGAAGTGTTGAGAAAAAAAAAATCTCTTAGCAAATCTCTAAAACCAGCCCCTCACTGTAAACTTTGCAAGACGCTTTGGCTGGTGACCTTTTTCTGCTAAGCATGCATTTTCTTTGATTATGAGGTCTGTAAATTAGCCTCTGTTAGATTTTGAAGGATCTGGGAGGGATAAAGTTCGATCAGATACCTAATGATGCTGGGCAAGGATGCTTAGAAATGGGAGTAATAGTGTCAATTTGCTGGATAATATATGAATTAAAAGGACCGACAGCAGACTGAAAATGTACTTTATTTCAGCTCTCTTTGTATACTAAAGTGGTTAAGAGGTGATATTACATCAGATGGGTTCAGGATAAATACTTCCAGCTTTTCCACCATCTGTTTCTTAGGTGTGCACTAGATTTTCAGTTTCAAACTCTCCAAAGCAAGCTGCATATGCAATGCATAAGCCGTGCCTAAATCATGCGGCTATGGCTAGCCTGAATACGAACCACAGGAAATGCACTCGGCCACAAGCCGATAGTCTCCATACTGTAGCAAAGTATTGAGCTTGGACACAGCCAACTACATGACGCCCCACAGCACAAACATAGGAAAAAGGAAGCAATAGAATGAATTGAAACTTATTTTATTGGAAGTAGCAATAGTCTTACCAAAAACAATGAGGTTTGGTACAGATTGCTATTTCCCATTGATGAGCAGTGTGTGAAAATATTGGTGAAAAGTACAAAAGTTATTGACTCCACAATATTGTATTTACCAGTAATGGTTTATACAATTCACTCCTTGAAGCCAAATTCTGCTAAGAAATGTTTCTGGTGGGTAATTCATTTCGGCAGGTTTGTTGTAAGGACTATTTTATGACTACATTAGGGAAGGCAGCTACAAAAGACATTTGAACAGGACACACATATTTTATGCTATAAATTATTGACATAATTGTTGATTTTTATTAAATTTGTCGTTGGCATTACACGATCTACTTTCAAGTGGTATTGATTTTAAAATGCATCTTTCGTGACTTTCCATCCCTAAATATTAACAGAATACATGTGAACTATTGAAAGCATAAATTTCAGTCACATTCAAATTTCAAATGTTGCCACGCATGTTTCAATGAAATAAATACAGCACAGAACCTATCAATCAAAAATCAATCACACTGACCAAGAGACTGGATCACTGCATTTTGCGTTTAATTGATTCTGTAAGAATGTGTGAGATACAAATTTGTAAGATGATACATAAGCCATACAAATAAGTAGAAATATTACAAAAAAGTGTTTTGTAAAAATCTGTTTGCATTACCAACTGGATTTGGAATATTGGCAAATAAATATATAAGATGATTACTTTTGACATTTTCTGCATTGATTGAGTAGCATGAGTCTGACGACAACTTCTGACTGGAAATTATTGCAAATATTTCAAAGAACTGGAATCTCACTTTTCTCAAAACTTTCTCACTTTATATCAACTTTTTTGATTTGGTAAAACATCTTTTAATATGTACAAAAATGAAACATGCATTCGAATATTATGCCAAATTCTATTTTAGGAAATATTCCAAACTACATTTATTTTGCCTATGTGCTTATGAACATGCCAGGTAACATCATTGTGGAATTTCAAATCACAGTTTACACATGGTAAATACTGTAAACATGAAGATGTATACGTGACGGCATATTTGTCCAATCTTACCTGCATGCACACTAATCTCACAGCAAAGACACTTCTATGTCATGATGAAGTTACAAATCAAAAATTTGGTCCAACTTTTCTGTGCGTCATCACCAAGTGTTGTGTGCCCCTCCCCCCAAAAAATCTTGTAAATACCATTTTCAGTTGGTAACTTTGGTTTCTGAATACTGTTTCAGTACTTCAGAAGATCTGAATAACAACTTTTGAGAAGAAGAAGAAATACAGACAATAACAGATATTGAACCTGCATTCCTTGGGAGTGCTACAAGTTCACAAATGTACAGCTGCGGTATGCAGTGATGTACATGTTGTTGAGACCCATCCAAAGACCGTTCACGAGACCAGCCATAAGTTACAGGGTGAGCAATGACTGGAAATGCTTTTGTTGGAATTCATTCGAATGGCTCGTGACTGGAATGTGTATTCCAGCCATGTCATTATGATTTACATCCTAAAATAATGATGATGTCATACTTTTCATAATCTCTTTCCTACAGGGCCTTGATGGATAGCGTCTCACTTCCCTGCCATAGGAAACTACACGTTAACAAATTGTGATGTCATGTTGAAGGTCTATTCTGATTGGAGGTCTTGTACAGTCATTTGCAAAAGTTTAATACCACCTGGAATTTTATTGGTATTTCTGTCACTGGTTGTCTCTTTGAATGATTTCATTGGTGCATTTACAGTGGTGCATAACATCAGTGTAGTTATATACAAGGCAGGTCTTGTATGACATTTTGTCTCGAAGGCATCATGGGTAAAAAAAAAAGCCAGTCTGAGTAATCAGACTTAAAGGAGGGCACACTAAATATTAGACTGTTAACATTTCAAATCAGAGAAATACAGTCAAATAGCTGTTTGACCAAGATACTAAAGCTACGCACTGAAAATAATCGTAAGTTGCCATGATTGATTGGTTTTTGTATGGGTGGTTCTAAACTTTTGCAAATGACTGGTCTTGGGATGGTCTTACAGAGGTCTCAACTACACCATTGATAATATGTATGTTTTCCTTGTGAAAGTCAGAATGTTACTTCCTTGTATCCACGGGTCTATGAACAAGGAGGTCCACAGGATGTAGAAAGGGAAAGCCTTCTACACTGGCAAACGTTGAAGAGAAGTTTTAAAGGAATGTTTGCATTGCAAAATAAAGAGTAACGTTCACTGAAAATATAATGAAAAATTCCTTGTTAAAAGAATGTTTACGTATGAAGCAAACTTGATTTTCCCCTCTGGTTTCTGTTAGACATGTGACAGTGAAATACACACACCTGGGTGTAAAGGTAAGCCGTAAACAAGCACACGGCATGAATACAAACTGATTTGTATCTATTAAAATACCTACAAGCTCACACCATTTTTGGGTAGATGCAGAAATGGTGTTCGACTTTCAGTCAAGTATCTCTTTAAATCAGGGGGGGGTTGGCATTAATCGGCAAAGCTTTTTCTGGCGACCTAGGGTGGAGTCAGGAACGTTGGGCGAAGGTGAAAGCAAGAACTTTGATGACAGGAATCACTCCAACTAGGACAAATTACAATTATAACTGAATCATGCTGAACAAGAACACAACTTTCCAACCAAACTGACGTTGAAAACAGAAACATAGCCCACTTCCAATGTGGATAAACTTTACTTCTTTTTCAATGGAATTCTGCCAATGTACTGTATTGGTCCTTTACTGGCAGTGGCAGAAAGATTCAATTCAAGTAGTTCATTTGCATTTTTCAAACACAAATATAGTCATAAAAAACATTAAATTTCATGAAAATGGTTCTATCATAAAGTCTCTCCAATTTCATTTTTAGATGACAGCTTTTGACACAATAAATACAACCAAGCACAGTATGGCATTGATATGTAAGGCGTTTACAAATTCTCAGAATATATATTGATTGAAATGCAAGGTGATATATGTAAATTTTCACAAGATTCCAGCACTTACAGTACTAAAAGTTCTGCTGTTTTGTAAATCTTGCACAGTTCCTTTCCTTTCAACCCCAAACTTGCAGAAATGGATGCCCCTAAGTATCTGTTTGGGAACAATTCCACACTGGACCATCACAATCTTTGAACGTCGTACATACCGGGTATAACAAGGGGTGCCTTGTCATTTTTGGGGGATTAGTGAGGAAAAAGGGGATTCAGTGCCTAGGAGAAAAATTTTGAAAAGAAGGGTAAACTTGTGGGTGTTCATGACGCTCGTGAACTTGTCCAATATGGACTTCTTTCCATCTGCTCTTTTGTTAGCATTAAGCTGAAAAAAAAAAGACTCGTTTCCTAGCGTTGACATTCAAACTGGTGCAGTGGCTTACATTCCGTCCCTCCTTCCCTCGTTTAAGGAGGGGGTAGTCAGGTGGTAACTATGCATTTGAGAAAGAAGACTGTTCTCCTGCAAGCATGGACGTTTTGCCAAAGCTGTGGAAGCTGCCAGGAACGGAACAAATCAAGCAGGTGCCCATTCTACAATTCTGTAAGACTCACAGCAGTGCAAACTTTGAATCAATCCCACTTTTTCCACTGCATCTGCATTAGATTGTAGGTTTTTCCAGCCAATTTCGGAAAAAAGGAAGCTTTCGTTTTCAGTCACGTGAGTTCATGTGCGTTTACATTTTCAGCATTGTTCCTTTTTTTTTTTATTTGACCAATTACGTTCACTTTCAACTTTAAAAGGGCAAGGAATGTTGGACATTCTTATTCTCCTTTTTCTTTACAGATAATGTAAATGTACATGACCATTACAGAGACCTTACACTCTGCCCTTTCACTCTTTGGAAAGGCTCCATGAACATATTGCGGAAATACCTGAACTACTTTAAAAAATAAACCTGGGATTTGGTCTGCATGGTCTGGTACAGATTAAAATCAAGAGGTGTCACATTCCGTACTTTTCATTCATATTTTGAATGGCAGAAAGAACAAGTAGCACACATTAACAGGTGTGAAATGTGATAAATATTGTGTTCTCGTGTTGATACCTTTGTTAGAATTTCGGGGATGCAAGACATATCCAGAGCCTGGTTGAGCTCACTAGCAACAAACTTGTATGAGCTTGACACAAGTGAATCGTACTAAGGTTAGCGCCGTTTGCTCAATGCAGAGTCCTGTGAGCTGCAATCAGGTAAATTGTTACCCTAACGCTCCCAGGTAGTTTGGCTGGAAACCCCATTGAACGCAACAACAGACAATGTAATACTGTCCAAGCGAGGAACTTGCCCAACATGGCAACAACTGGGTTTGACGCCTAAGGTTTGCCAGCCATCACAGGATCCAACACAGGCATTGCTCACTGGAACTGGCTCAAGTTGTCTCGATCGCTACCAGTTTGTTCCACGCCTGTTGATTGCCCTGTACAAGGAGGCCCCATTGGCATTCCCACCTGTTGCGTTCAGCTACGCCTGGGTTTAGATGTTGACTAGCTTTGCTCCTGGAACTGTAAAAAAATTCTTTAAAATGTACCTGATGTGTAGACAACTCCGCCCTTTAGTAGGGAGGATATTACACAACACAAAACTGAAGACAGTGACTACAAGGTACCAGCGGCAAAAAGAGCACCTGTCGTCTGACCACTAGCAACATCCACTTTTCTTGCCGGCCTGCGCCCTTCGCTTCCTGAGGTCCACAGTGTCGGTGGAGTTGTAAGGCATCACTGTCTCTGGTGGTAACTGCTCGCCTGAAAGAAAGAAAAAAATGCTGGTAAAAGTGATACTCTTTTGGCACTGTTGCGTTGAAACCTTCCCCAATCCTTCACAATTCACAATGGTATGTAATAGCGCATTTTAACTTTCAAGGGATACCAAGACTCAAGCAAGTTAAAAGTAATTGGGCTCGATTTTTTAATATCTCGCAAAATTTTCAAAACCTCATGGCATATTTTGGAGGATCCAGGAAGGTTAGGGTTTCGGTTCAAGTCTCACCAAAGTCATTTATTCATGAAAATGTTTAAACCAACTTGTGTTTCCGTAAAAAAGTGTACCTGAACCAGGACATAAAGGGTTCTTAAAACCTGGGAAAATACCACTTCCTGTACAAGGAAATACGCAGAAAAGGAAGTGTCTCCTGACTCAAAATGCTCCACTTACATGTAGCCTGTGACCCATATCTGACTGGAAAATGTAGTGTCCCAAGCATGCTTCCCAGCTACAACAGGCTCTGCCCAAGTGAGTATGCACATATATAGGCACAAGATTCTCAATTAGGAACATCCAGTGCTACCATTCTCTTCCCTTCATCACATAGTCCCAACTGGAACAGGCAGGATTCACTGTGGAATGTTCCGGGTATTCCTCAAACTGAACCAGCCTCTCAATACTGCTATTTATAAACTTATCGGTGTTTCTCCCTATGATTGCTGACTAAAACTCAGCCCCAACCCAACACACTTTTTTCTTGGACTTTGAGACCTGGGAAGATATATACTCATGACTTGAGTAGGATAAACTTGACATGCGACGTGACTTGTGCGAAAATAAGAACTAACAACTCACTGATTTTAATAAAGAGTTCTTTGATGTTGGCTGCTGTTTTGGCACTTGTCTCAATGAACACAGCCCCTATATCTTGGGCATAGTCCATGGCAGTTCTTGTCTCTACCTCCCGGAGGTCGCACATGTCAAACTTGTTCCCAGCTATCGCTATGACAATGTTTTCTGGGCCATGCTGCTGCAATTCCCGTATCCAGTCTCGAACTTTGGTAAAAGTCATCTGGAGCGGGAAACGAGAGGAGAGAAATCCATGAAAGGCCACAAGCACAAAAAAGGAACTGACTTCCTCAAAATTGTGTCAGAAGTCAACAGATCAAGCAGACGAAAAATTGTTTTCTGGGAAACTCTTATCAGTTCTCAAAATTGTCCTCCAAAAAGACTAAACCATCTGTTTTCATCACAGTAACTGTAGTTGACATATTTTGAAATTTATTTTTGTTAAAAAGGACTTGTTATTTTTTAGTTGGGAGTCATTTTGGTAAAATAATTCTACATGCATATACACTGCATTTTCACATTTTCCAGAATGTATTGCCTGTCATTTATCAGCGCAAATATCGAAACCCTGCCCTCTCTCTCTCTAAAAAAATCTTGCTGGTATTCAATTGGATCATTTCTAGTATTATAGTATCAGCAACGACTCAAAGTCAATTTCATTCCTTAATTCATCTCTCAAAACACAAGCACTCAAACATTCACGAAGTGCGATTACAAAAAGATTAATTTTTCAATGCTTTAACAGACAAAAACAAACATGGAGTTTGGAACAGGGTTTTCCCCTTTGAAACACACCTGACTGGTGATGTCATACACGACAACAGCTGCAGCAGCTCCCCTGTAATACATGGGTGCCAGACCTCGGTACTGGGGGGGGGGGAATAAAGAAGGAAATATTTCAACATACAAGTATCAGTAATGTTGGAATATACTAGAGGAAGTAACAATGCAAGTGTTGAAGGGAATGTTGGTTGTTACTCATTCTTCCCAGGTGGCATGCATATTCAACAGATATTATTTTGAACAAAATGATACGCAGGTTATGGTTTGTAAGATTTTACCAAGTGCACCGGGTTTTCATTTGTTGAATTCATATTATATTTTGCTTTTCCGTTTCTTACCTTTTCCTGGCCAGCTGTGTCCCATATCTGAAATTTGAAAGATTTCTCTCCTGTTGTGACTGTTTTAGACATAAACGAGGCACTATAAAAAATAAAGTAAAGAGGAAAAACAAATGAACTTAAAGATGCCATGTTGAAGACTTTGAAGTTGAGAGCGATGCCAATTTTGGGGCCGACGAGTGAAACGTTTGCATTTTTTTCCAACAATGTTTAAACTATGCTTGTTTACAGCCAACTTGACATGAAGTTATATATTCTAACCAACATATGCAAAAGATACAGAAAGGAGCATGAACATTTCTAATGATAATAAGAAAGAATTCCATATTTCCATGGTGACACAAATTTTGAGTGTGATTGTCACAAGATGACCCAACTTCTTTGATCTGTTCACCCAAGGCACCAGATTCCCTTAACAGGCTCCCCTTGTTGACTTAATGTTTGTGACACTACAACTGTAATGGTCCCATATGAATATCTTCCCAAAGATTGTGGTATCGACTGCTGTGTGTACATCGAATTTGAACAAGCCAGCCAACCCTAGCAAGTACTGTGGTCACAAAGGCCTGTGCTGGTGAGCATGATGCCGTGGGTTAAAAGTCTCCACATATTAAGCATTTAGGTAAATTTTACTTTGTTACAGTCTCTCTTGATGTACAAAGTGCACAGTGATTCTCAAAACCAAGATGGTTGGAGAGAATGGATTCTTAACTACAAGAAGATTTCACATTGTTTTTACACCTACCCAATCGTTGGTGGAATGGAGTCTTGGTAGGAATCACAAACAAACCTCTGCACGATGCTGGATTTCCCAACTCCAGAATCCTGAAAATGTAAAGTCAGCTGCATTAAAATATGCAATGCCATTAAGGCGAATGAATCGTTCACCGACCCGGGCCAATTTGTTGAATTTCATTCTGTCACAATCGTGTTCCAGCGAACACAACTGGGTTTGCTGTACGTGTACACTGTATTGTATACCGGTAGTGTACTCTCCACGAATGACGTGTACAAAGTTTTACCAAATCATCATTTATCCCGCGTAGACGCATCACAACCAATCAGAGTTCTGGATGTCGAGATAATAGTTTACGCTCCACGTCGTCCAGTATTGTCGAAGGGGGTTGAGTAATATACATTGTAAGTTCAGTATTGTCCGGGCCACGACTATCGGTGTAAAATGCGCCTTGGGGTTTTCATAGAGGAATAAGAAAAAAATGAGGGTGGCAGTCGAGATCGACAGGAAACAGTCAGGGAGAAAGTGAGTGAGAGAATTTTGGAACAGTTGAGGTGAATACTGACTGCAACCAGGGGTTCGGCTGAGTGCGCAAGTTTCTTGTCATTTGATGATCACCGACTTTTATCAGCTCGGCAGAATTTTACAGTGGCGAAATTCTCCAGCCGAGGATGTACCTTCTGGATAGCAGCACCCAACCTGTCCCCACTTCAATCTAGGACAGAGTCCGATAGCCATGGCCCTTATTCCTCCACTTTCCACCCATCTACTGGGGTGAGCCAGAGACAGTAAGACATAAGGGCTCAGACCTACCACTGCCAGGGACACCGCTGCCTGAGAGAAGTTTTCCCATGACCCACCTCTGCTCGCAATCAGAAAACCTCGGGGTCAACCATATGTTTACACTGTGATTGAGTGACGTCATTGAGTGGATATGTTTGATGTTCATGTGCATATCGAGTTCCATATGCTGATACCACAGTATTAGCCATCCGAAAGCAATAAAATGTCCTTAAACATGGTAAAAAGTGAAATTTAGCAGTGAATTTTTCCGACCAGTTTTACTCACACGACTCATGGGGTTTGTGCACAGGGTGTCTAATACTGACAGTGTGCGTACTTCTGGAAACCAAAACTAAACAGAGCCTTTGGCTGGGTTTGGGTTTTCAGAAGTACCAGTGGGTATGTGCACCCAGAACTGTGGGGTCCGACGTCCGTCCCGCTCCCTCGTGGGGCAGATGTCGGACCCCACAGTTCTGGGGGTAAAACTATTAATAGTCATGATAGTGGGCATGGTGGGTGCCAATTCTTTCCAAATTATCAATATCAGAGAGACAATATACATAGGCCCAGTCAATCTTGGTGAAAATTACGATTTGGGATATAGACAAACATAACAAATTAATACAAAGCCAAAACAAAAACCAATCGGGTAAAAATAACATCCACTGCAATGTGGAAAGAGTCACACGCACCCTGATCATCATGACCAGGATGGCACGTCGCCGTATACGCGATACAGCGTCGTGTAACGATATCATGGGTGTACATGTACAGAACTTTCGTCCGATACAAAGGGCATGAGGGGGGCTACTTACCCCGAGCAAGCAGAGTTTAACTTCTCGCATAGCCATAGTTGCGACCGTTCTTGATTTTTGGTTACCTGGTGCCCATTGTAGACTTGAACCTTACTTCTAGTTCTTCTACAGAGGGAGGGAATTTTACTATTTCTACTGGTACTGCGTGGGACAAACGTGACGTGAGCAAGTTTCCGTTCGAGTTCAACAAGTACTACAACTACTGTTCGTTCGCACTGTAAATTATCTATCCGACTGTACTTCGTTTGAAGAGCTGGCTTTGTGACGTACATTTCAAGTCAAGTTTAATTAAAAGAAATAATTGTAGATTTTTAATTTTCCTTTTGAAATAGCTGTACAAAATCTGACTTTTGGAAGATTTATGTAGCAGATCATAGGGTCATCAATCTGCTTTGCATTTCACATGGGAAACATGATAATTTAGAAAGCGGTATCATCTACACGTTGTTATATGGCAAAGTAGATGAATCACGCATGCACGGCATACACGCCCCCAAAGAAAACATCAGTACCCAGTTTGTGTCAATTCCGATTGCCCATGAAAATTAGAACAGAGAGAACATACTCCATAACTTCTCCAATAATCAATATATTTTCCCCCATAAATAGAATAGACACAAAATATTTATTCCATGCATGGATACTAACTTAAAAACACACCCCCAACGGCTGGAATGTCTACCACAAATATCTCTTCTATTCTCTTCCCCCTTTGATCTTTTAAAATGAACACGAACTACACAAAAGGTGCAGTTCACTTGCTTTAGTAACCCCCTGAGAAGCAGAGAAAGAGAAAAAAAAAACAAGAGGTCATCCTCAAGTGACCTTCCTAAAGTGACCTGTTCTCATTGCATCTTTTGTCAAAGCCATTATTTAATCACATAAGAATGAGACCTGAAACATTAACAAACATTGTGGAGGAAATCTATGTTGTCTTCAGAGAACTTTTTATTTATATAAATCATCAGTCTGATAGCAAATTCCTCTGGTTTATTTAAATTCTCACCAGACCAACTCATTTTTGTGTCCACTGAGAGTGCTTTCATCTAACAAGTGAAACACAACTGCCTGAAAACACCCAAAAACTTTGAAAACACCTTATTTTGTCTACTCACTTCTATCCAACCAACCGAAATCTAAATGAAACTGAAGATGGGCAGAAGCTATAATTTGCTCGTGTTTGTGAGTTCTTCATCAAACTACTACCCAGGAAGTTCACAAGTTCAAACTGAATGAGGTTTGGTTTGATAGTTTTCATTCTGAAATGTCCCAGTTACATGTATGTCACTATACTGTTGGTAAGATTTTCAAATAAGGATATGCATTAACGCATGGCTGGTCAAAGTGTCTTGAAACAGGTCAAATAAAATCCCAAGTAGTGATAAGTAGCTGATTTTGCTTCTAAGCAAAGTACAATGTACAGGGACATGGGTAAGTCAACAATTAATCATGCTAAGCAAGTCTGCTGCTGGTATCTTAGGCCTAGGAAAAGGTAAACATGTATAGAAAACTGCTTATAAGGTTTGGATATTCCAGATTATAACACACCTCTTCCTGGTTCTTTCGCCTGATTGGCTGAAATACGATCATGTATGGTTCCCTACGTGGCCTAGTACATGAATTTGGCATCAGCGTGACTCGACATGCACCTAGACAGTGCGCACACATTAATTCCAGACACTAGGGCATCAATTCAAGAGACTAGCCAGAGAGAGTGGTCCTATTGCCCTCTGGTCACTCACAGTGACCTCATTGCCAGTCCATACATGTGTATAATAGACTGTACTCTTTCAAATTTCTGCACACAGAATTTAGTTCCCTGGCCTCCATAACTTAAGATATAATTGTTCAGAATGGTTTTAACTGTTTAAAATAATTAATGTTAATTCTACCTTGATAGCAAGCAGTGAAGTTTAATTAAAACTGAACAAACTGATGCCAAACCAAGCCAAATGGCAGGATGATTCAAACCAGTGATATGTACATGAGGGTGGTGTACCATTTTGCTAAATGGATGATGGCTGCAGGGGTGGGATGTCAAGGGTCACGTTGACTGGGGCTTTCCCTGATCTGCTCCTTGCCCTAGCATTTGTTTTTCCTCGTCAACCAACTGTTGCCATCTGGCTTGCTCCTGAGCAATGCGCTTCTCCCTCCTAGCAAAATAAGCTGGGTAGCGTGCCTTCTCAGAGGGATGCCAGTAATTCAGAACCTGATCAGGAATCACAGGGAAAAGAAGCAACAGCGGTGTGTATTTCAAATCAATACAAATCCTTGAAACCATGTAACCAAAGCTGACGCAACTATGCAAGATGCTACCTGAAAGTAGTCTTGTAGAATAAAAAGGGCCCTATGGCCAAGACTTAACCGAAGTTAGGCTTCCTAACCCGCCCAAGTGTATGAATGGAAAATTATATAACCCCATGAAAAAGCCTATCAAGTACACAGAGTTCCTACAGGTCAGCCATACCCGAGGCCAAACAGCCTAAGTCCAAGCCTGCCAAGCACCACAGGGCACAGCAGTTATACTCATACGCAGCCAGAAATGAGACGGCTGAATCCACACTGTCTTCCTTGTAGCACCGCTACACTGCTGCAGAACTGAGCATGCGCATTAACAAGCAGAAGTTCACAGGTACGCTATGAAAGCATCACATATCCGCGTACGCTTAGAACAGAGCTGAACTCACTCACGTGTAGCAGCGGGTTTGTGCACAAGTCTATGGTGTAGCACTTTTTTGCTACACGCCGCGGCCCCTTCCCGTTTCATTTTTCCATGTAGCACTGTGTAGCAGCGGGTTTGTACACAAGTCTATGGTGTAGCACTTTTTTGCTACACTCAGCGGCCCCTTCCTTTTTCGTTTCCTCATGTAGCACTGTGTAGCAGCGGGTTTGTGCACAAGTCTATGGTGTAGCACTTTTTTGCTGCACGCCGAGGCCCGTTCCTGTTTCGTTTTCCCATGTAGCACTGTGTAGCAGCGGGTTTGTGCACAAGTCTATGGTGTAGCACTTTTTTGCTACACGCCCTGGCCCCTTACTTTTTCATTTTCCCGTGTAGCACTGTGTAGCATTAGTGTGCACTTGAAGGTCTGGTTCTTAGACCATCCGATCGGCTGTGCCTATATCCTATTGCATATCACCTGACTATACATTCTGTGTAGCATGTAGCACTGCTACACACACAGGTTCTGTCTTCTTCGGTCTCATTTCTGGCTGGGTGCCTGATTGGCAGGGTTCAACTTGAAGACACATTATTAAGACTCACCCATTCTGGGGAAGGGATGTTCCGCTCATAACGCGTGCCTCCAGGAGAATCAATGACTGAAAAAGGAGAAGATTTAATATAAAAAATATGATTTTTATCCAAACATCGGAGAGGAAGTTTCACCAAAAGGCACAGAATTTGCGGCCCATTTTTTCTCACCACCTGACCCACTGTCTCCTTGTACTTACATATGTATGGCTGAGGGTGTTGCTTCTCCCAAAACTCTTCCTCCCCATCCCTGAGAAGTTGGGCTGCCTTCTTCATGTCAGTTTCATTCTTGTGCTCATCAAATCGAGCTCTTAAAAGCGTGACCTCGTAGCGAAACGTTGGCCTGGAAAAACGAAGGAGTGACACTTTTTTGTATGACAACATAAAATCAAGTCTGTTTTTTTTTGATCAATTTCAGATTTTTTTGGTGTTCTTTAGGATGCTCTGTACATATACTCTTATGTATGCTTTAGCAGTAAGCCTATGGGGGTGGTGGACGAAAATCCGGGATATTCATTTCATGGCCTAACGAGTATTTAGTAGAAAACTGTAAATTGATTTCTGACTGGTTCACTTCCCCCATAGGACTGTGCATAAAATGCATTGCTTGCTTGTCATCCAAACACATAATGCATTGCGCACGTCGAAGAGGTTTGATCCTAACAGTCCCAAATCCTCTGATTTCAATATGATTTCAAATACACCCTAGGGGGTTTGGGTTAAGGTTTATTTGGGGGAGGAGGGGAGGGTAGGCCTACGCATATGCACATAACTTAAGCCTTGACAGCCAAATAGCCCTACGGCTTTTAAAAATGGCTTTTCAACAGTGTTAAAGTTTCATCCCCCCACATCTGTGCAACCTTTATGTCAAGATTCAAACTCAAAGTCACAAAGAAATCACGCCAGAGTCAGAGCTAAGAGTCAGACGTACATGTACGTGCAGACGTCATGTCATTTTGCATTGCATGTTTTGTCAGAACACTTGCAATTTGCATGCTTGCCCGGCCGGGCACATTAAATGATTAACCAATTCACCTGTGGGTAATCCATGATTCTAAATGTCTCGCCGACTTCTTATACAATCGCAGAACACGCTGTGCATGGGTGAGCGAACTGGTCATATTTAAGAGAGAAACTCTGCAACTTTCTAAGGCTTTGGGACCGACGGCGACTACATACATGTACATGTACAGTGTATGCGATCACAGTCTAATACACACTGCCGATGCCAGGTGAAAGCGCCCTCAATTTTTGATGGGCCAAACGGGGTACCAGGTTTTACCCAGATAAATGCAGGCTGATAAACTGCAGTAAACCAGCCAAAACCATCATGTAGTGCATGCATGAGCAGCGCTTAATATGCACGCAGTGGCATGGCGATGGCAGGGAGAGTACAACTTCACAATACGGTTCCTCCCTACCTCCATGGTCACGGTGTCAAGTGAGGAAAAGCGGAGTGAGACTGTGGAGCTATTTCCCTTAACATGCTTGACGATAAGGTTGGTAAATGAAACTGAGAGCTCTTCAACTTGTAATTAATGAATAGCAATGAGTATGCGACTAGATCGATGATCATGATGAGCATGTTAGGCCTGCAACGATAGTCCTACTGCCCTAGGGCATGTGCTAGGCTATGTTGTTTGGTTGTTCTGTGATGGTCCTTACAAACATGAACTAAGTCATGTAAGTAATGAATGATGATGCCCCACAATTATTCTTCAGTTTTGGGCAGCTGTGTGACTCGGTCGAACGTGAGGGTTTTGTTAAATAGTTGATTCTGAGTGCGTGATTGCTTGATCTTAGCACAAATCTGCTGATAATTCAGTCAATACTGCTGATGGCTGACTTCTGTAGACATGTTAGAGTTAGATTTCATCTACTGATTCGTAATTGTTGGAGATTGTTTTGAAAGGGAAGTGATGTCAGCAGTACTGGATGTCAGAGATTTCATACAGGACATGATAGGAAATCTTGATTGATAGCATGATGTAATTGGGCAATTGTGCTGATCAACCGATCGCACCCAACTTACATGTACAGTACATGCACATGAAATGATTCATGATTGTCTTGTCAAATGTTTTGAGCACTAAGTTGTCAGTTGTGTTGTCTGCACAGTCACTTCATGGTGTAAAGTGAAGTGTGATATTTCTTACACTAACAAATTACAGAATCGATTGATGTGCAATCGGCGGTTCATACAGATTGACAAATCTTGCCTAGTAGCAATGCATTGTTGTAATGTCGAACGTCAGTTGAGAGGAATTCCGTACTATTAGACCATCTTATTTTATGAGTGGCATAACTTAAGCACCATTTACTTGCAATGGTGCGCATTAATTTTAGGGAGTGTTAACAAGGAAAAGGGGTTCAGTGCCTCAGAGAACAGATTCAGAAAATGGGATTGTTGGTGTTTATTTACTCTCATGAATTGTGGTGGTCTAGTATGGAATTCTTGTAGAGTTTTACTTTATTTTGTCACAGTCTTCGGATTTTGTGCTGTAATACAGTATATATTACAAGTACATATACCGGTACAGGTGTACATGTACATGTACACTGTATGTGTGAGTTTGAAGAACCTCCATGCCTCCATGGACGTGTTACGCCCGAACTATAGCATCAGTCCCAAATATAGTTGGGCCCGTCCCAACTACAGCGCTACGGTTGGGCCGGCCCAAGTACAGCAGAGAGGTCCTGTGTGCATGATGTGCCCAGCATGTGCCAACTGCCAAAGTCATATTGTTTACAAATGTCATGTCATTGGCCATAGGGCTAGATGAACAGATGAAGTGCCACATTTTAGATGAATTGTGTCAAGCGTGAGACACATTGACTTGGATAACGTTGAGACATTTCCCACAGACATTGGTCAACAATACTTGGGCCAGCCCAACTGCAGCACTACAATTGGGACTTATGCTATAGTTGGGACGTAACAGACGTACATGTACATGTAGCTGTTTGATATGATCAGCTAGCGATTGGTAGACTTGCCGATTTGGTGGTGGACATGCAGTCTGCATACGTGTACATGTATTGTTTGTTTTGTCATTGATCGTTTAGTCATTTATCGATTGAGGAATATATGTTTTAGCAATTAGTCAATTATGTGTACAAGTAATTCTGTGCAGGGTAGAATGTTGGTAATATAAGTATGAAGCATAGACTTATGATTGATTGATTGATTGATATCTTAAGAATAGGTTTGCACAATACCTAGTGAAGAAGTGGATCGGGAATAGTGGGAAGGGAGTTTTTTGTAATGAAGAAATGCAGAAATGTGTTTGCAAGATTGGTTGATAATGCTGTTCTTGCATGATTACCGGATCGTTTAAGTCCTCTAATGCTCTCTCTTAGTGGCTAACGGCTATGTGATTGAACAACTTTCGCACAGTCTCTTGACAGCTGGCCTATAAGCAAATTACCATCATCTGATACCATCAATCCACTTATTGCACTCAATGCAGCTGCTAAGCTAGGCCATTCTGGTCTGCTGCCAAGTTGAAATCAGCTTGGCTAGAGAGCATCTTCACCATTTGGCCCTGAAGTTATGGAAGGCAAAAGTTACAAATCAGCTTGGCTAGAGAGCATCTTCACCATTTGGCCCTGGAGTTATGGAAGGCAAAAGTTACAATGATCCAAAGGTGTCTGGGTCCTCAATTCAACTTTGTCCAAAGTCATCTCCATCAAAAGTGAGCTACATGTACACTGTACATGTACATGATGTATGGATGGTGGTCTGTACTTGCAGGTCACTGAAGCCACTGTACAAAACGGGAATTGCCAAAAGTTAAGTAACAGCAGAAGGTGTTTTTTTTTTATAGAACCTAACATTCCCAGAGTAAGAATAAAGATCTGTAAATAATTTGCATCAAGAAAGTACATGTATTTGTACACTTGGGGGAAGGAGAATCTTCTTCAATAACATAAAAAGGAATGATAAGCCTGTAACCTCAAGCTTGCCAGCTCTGCTTGCCATAGAACCATAGATTTAAATTTCATGTCAAATACAAAAAATAAAATAAAATATAAAATATATAAAAAATATAAAATTAAGAAGCTAGCTACTAATTTGCACTGTCGTAACAAACCTGAACAACAGATGCCAGGAGATGGGCTAGAAACTCCAAAGCTAACAAAATATGTACGAAAATATGTGATAAAATACAGCAAGCAGTGTCATCAACTGACTGTACGACATGCTCTATGTGACCATTTATGGCAGTATGCTGAGCACATCAGACCAACAAGGAAATGTTACAAAACAGTAGGGCTGTGCCGAATATCCGAATAACTGAATATTCGATCGATTGTCAAATATTCGAATATTATTTTTTGAATTTGAATATTCGAATGCAAAATTCATGAAAAGGAAGAGAAACTTTTACCTTTGTTTCATTGGAATAAATAAGAAAAATTGCACTATGGAGGCTTGTTTTGAGCAGATTCAAATGAAAAGCATCAGAAATCTTACAATTTAAAAAGTAAATTATTCATCAAACAATATAAAGGAACAGAAATTTTTAACAGGGCAAGAAGTCTTGTTCATTTCATAAATCTTGCTAAATTGTGGCTGGAGATACTCCCTTCATATGAGAAGCTACATGTATTATATTGATCGTAATGTACAATTGTGTATGTTATTGCAACTGAGTTTGTATACATAGTTTGTTCATCAATAATCTGCCGGTCAGTGCAACCGAATATTCAGATATTTGATCAAATTGAAGGTCAAATATTCGAATAGGTAATTAGTAGAATTGACTCGGCCTTACAAAACAGTTAAAAATTTCCATAAATTACTCATGCAGACTGTGGAAACGAAATGTAAAGAAGTAAGTGTCCCCCTAACAAATGGAAATTGACCCATGAAATTTTCCCTGGTATTGATTTACTAACTTCTGAACATTTTCATTGTTCTCTGCTCTGAGATGTAAGCATTATGATATTGAACTCTGTTTTTCTTGAGACAAAAATCCCAAACCATAAGGGTTTATTCTGGTAAAGTTACACAAAATGTTAAAAAGATGCTGCCTCTTGTAAAATTTAAAATGCTTTATAAATACATTATAAATCAGACTGTTCAAACATTGCTCCGACTTTGTAATAACTGGATTTATAGTTCGTATGCTTTTCAGAACATTTGTGAAATGTCCTGTTGGCATTCCATCCAATGGAAGGTACATGTACCTCTCCGAGAAGAGAGCTACATGTACAGTCCTAGAGGCTACAAAACCATCTACCTACATGTACAGTAGTAAAATGCCCATTGTGGTGCTACTGTGTGGATTAAGAAGCAAATCCATAATCCACTTTCATTGTTACCAGTGTGAGGCATTTTGAAGCTTTGGTAGTACTGCTGTGTAATAGTGTTGGTCTCCATATCTACATGTATCATAGTGTTTGTACTTTCAATCAGATTAGAAGAGGTTTGCCAGCTCCCTGATAGGATTAGAATGAAAGTCTTTCTTTTGGAATTCATGGTTGCCTCATTGTTGATACACATTGCTTGCTTCATAGTTTGGTTAAAAAATTCCTATAGCGCTTCTTTAAATATCACAAATGTTTGCCAAAATAAACCTGTGAGTGATGTACATGTATTTTGTCTTGAAACAGAGTTTGTTTGTGGTTTTGATAAAACTAGATTCTGCTGCATGTATCATGAACAAATTAAAATTTGATTGGGGAAATACTTATGTATACCATTTCATGAAATATTCCATTTCATGGAACCAGATATTTTTTCAGTGTTAAAATTATTCATGGTTAAGTGAAGTGGATAGAGGCAGGGTAGAATTTCAGAAAATACAAATTTTCCATCTCCAAAACTTGGTGACAGATGGTCCATTACTGCTGCTGTCTGAGTGCTGCAATATACATGTACATGTACATGTATATTGTGTGCCAGTGGTTGTCGATGAAGATACTTTGTTGATCCATGTTCAGGGAGGAATAGAGGCTTAGGATTTTCAGCTGAATACTGAATGTGTGAAAGGGACATGTTTAAGTTAATGCGATGACTTTCTGAAATGGTGTAAGGAACTAAAATTTCTACACGTGACCTAAGTCAAATTGTGTTCAAATTTTTTGCACAGTAGTCATACGAAAAGGTGAGATTTTCTTTTGTGTATTTTTTTAAATTAAGTAGTCAAACTCAATAAATAATTGCTTGCACAGTGTTTGTCATTAACAGGTGTACATTCTCACTAGCTTAATTCTAAGCTGTGAAATGATTTTCAAAAAGCCCAGAAAATGAAGGATTTCAATTCATTGACATGTGGAGTAGACATTAGTAACTCGGCCATATAATGTTGCAGAAATTTCCATCCAGCCTTCTGTCATCGGAGATTGGATTGTGTTGTTTTCCAAATTTAATTACGATGGCAGAAAATGGTTCTGGCACAGGGTATGTGTGTTCCGGCGGCTTTCACACTCCTCTCGCCGAGTGACCGGAGGGCTGAGTCATCGCATTGAAGCTGATCGTGATAGCCCCGTGGTGAGGCATTTCAACATTGTCTGCATGAATGCTTGCATAAGCCTGACATTGTATACAGTCACAGGGGGACGAGTTAGATATATATTGATAAGTATATGCACGGTGGTGCCACACTTTCTTAATCACTGGACTGGGCACCGGCTCTGGTTTAATATTGGCATACGTTCTTCCTGAGCCAGAGAATTCCATCACCTTGGAAACCGAACGTTTGCATTATTATTGTGCATTACAAAGGTAGGGATGTTCTAGTATTCACTAATGGCATCATTTTCACCAACATTTTTAAACTTGAGCATTTCCAAAGCAATAGGCAGGAGTTGCATGTAGCAGAATGTAATTGTGACTTTCTTTTTTTTTTACCTCAAGAGTCAATACACACACATGTACGCATACTCTCTGAGATGCTTTGAGTATGGGATGTGCAGTTTTAGTCTGAGGGTTTGAATTTGTGTCAACATTTTAGTTCAGATATTGTTTTGGTAGTTGTGGATTCATAATGTCTGGTTATGGTGTCCTGCACTACATAATTATGGGAGATGTATGTTTCACTCTGTACTGAGATGTTACTCAATTGCCCATTTCATAAATTTTACTTTGTATTTGATTCTGTACATTGTACAAGTGAAAAAAATAGCACATTACGCGTACCGGTAGTTATTGTTTTAGTGATAAATGTACTTTATAATTATATTTTCAGATTTGTTGTTAATTCAGATATTTCAGATATAATTCCTATGTAAATAATTTATTACCGCTAATGGGTCGTTAGGGAGACATTCCCATAAGAACATGCACAAAATTTTTCCAACTTTACTGTCCCATAATTCAATATTCCCTGGTCTGATCTGAACCAAACTTTGTATGTTTTCAATTTAGACCTTAATCTATCATCTCTCAAAATTAGGACGGT